TAATAAAACCAGATTGCTTATCTCTCAACACGAAAAAAATACTAGACACAGGCCAAAAACAGGCAATAGCAGACGAAAATACTACACGGACGAGAGAAGCGAACCTGGGTCCCGCCAGCGATGGGGGCGAAGCGGCAACTTGCGTGGTCGGCAGAGGCGAGGAAATCCGTGTGGCTTGGATGGCATTGGCGATACTCCTCGGCACCGCCGTCATTCTTGGGCACACACACGTTCGAAGACACGAAGCGACGCCGCAGTCGGGACGTCTGACATCTTCCCGCACTGAACGGACTGCCGCTCGCTGTCTTCTCAAAACCCGCTTCGCTTGCACCGTCGTTCAACTAGTCTCCAAACAACGCGCACACAGCCGTCCCTTCGATCTGCCCTCTGCCCAAGCTATCCAAACGCGTCTTCGATTCTCCGTTTCTACCACTCTCTCTCTCTCTCTCTCTTTTCTCGCACACAAAGGTAGCTTGCAGCGCGCCTGACGCGCCCGGTGGTCTACCAAAAACGAGAGGACAAAGAACAGGACGTGGCCTCGTTCCAGCAGCCGACCTTGTCGCGCGCGCTCCCAGCAATGCCAGTTCGGCTATCTCTAGCCGACCTTGGCGTGCGCGCTCCCAGCATGACCAGCTTGACCACCACGATTATTATTTCGACCAGATTCACCAGCTTGTCTCCCAGCATGACCAGCTCGTCTCCCAGCTTGACCACATTGGCTCCATGGAAAACCAGTTTGACCAGTTAAGACCAGACTGGCTCCCAGCTACACCAGATTGAATCTAAAACCAGATTCGAGTGAGACCATGCTGGTTTTTACTTAGACCAGACTGACCAGCTTAAATTCCAGCTTGCCCAGCTTAAACCAGCTTGATTGCCAGCTAAACCAGTTTAATTACCACATTGACCAGTTTGACCACCTTGATCACCAGCTTGACCACCTTAATTACCAGCTTGACCAGTTTGATTTTCATGCTGGTTTTTCCAATAGGGACCTCAAGGCGTCTTACATTGAGGTCTATTTACCATCCTTCCAATCAGAGCCAATCAGAACTTGACGTTGTTCTGACGTCACCGCAACTCCTGCGCAAGAAGCAGACGACTTGCTCTCCGCATAGTCGCCGTTAGCTTATGAAACGCAGAGCACGGCCAGTTCCGAGCGTCTAATTACTGCCCAGCAGTCAACGAGATTATGGCTTTCGCCGAGAAGAACACCGGATGATGAATCATAAAGTAATACGCGTGAACGTATTAACCTGCGCCAACCGAAATGCGTCTGGCCGTGTTTTAAAATTTACTCGATCATACTCCAGAGTGAGGGCTTGGTACCTTTGCGTTCGAAAAGCCTACCCACGTCCAGCGTCGTTCTATCTGTGATATCGCGTGACATGACACACCGGAGTAACTCGGATCTGTTTGGGTAAGATTTGGAACACAGCCTTTTTTTCCCCGCGGGGGGCACCTGTGAAACCAGGTGTTTGGAGAGTGGCGTCTTCACGGACCCAGACCCCCGCAGGGGGCGCCTGCTGCTTACGTGCTAGGTGCTTGTTGAGTAGCGTCACTACGGACCCCAGCCACGTGGGCCACCATACCCGCACGCAGGGGGCACCTACTTTATAGTAGGTGCTTGGTGAGTGGCGTCACTACGAACTCCGAGCCATGTGGGTTCGCCCGCCAACGCCTGACTGTGCGTGGCTTAGCCCATGTCCGGAGAAAAGGGGACCCTGGTGGTTGAGCTGAGCCCTGGGTATGTTTGGACCCTTCGGGGTTCCCCGGGCAAAGCAATACACCGCTTCGGCCCTTGCTTCTCGTAGACGGGTGTCCTGGCTTGGCCCGACGAGGACGATTCAGTCAGTCGCCTCTTCTACCCTCTTCTTCCTTCTTTCACTTTTCCTCCCACCTCTTTTTCTTTTTTTCTACACTCTCTTCCTTCCTTTTTCACCTTCTTAGGCGCAAGGGCTAACCTTGAGTGGAACCAGGACCTGTCCCTGCGACCACACTAGGGTATAGTGCCCGGGACGCATTGGTAGCGTAATTGTGTCAGCCAAGTCCTCTTGCTATGGCACATTACCTACCCCCTTGTTGGGCTCCGTGGTGGGTGGTACACCCGGGCACTGAACTTTCCTTCCCATCTGTATGGGTACCAAGCAACACAAAACCTCTGATCTGTCCCTGAAAAGGGTCCGCAATGAAGAAAATTTCCCTCTTTTGGAGTCACGAAGCAACACCGACTCTATCACCAAATTTTTTGTAGTTCATGCTGATGACGCATCCAAGCCACTGTCTAAGATGTCACCTTTTCTTGTTGGAAAGGAGCTGAAAGGTCTGTTAGCGGAAAATTTCAACTGGAAAAAGATGTTTACTGGTGACCTCTTAGCAGAAGTTTTCGAAAAAAACCAGGCAGTGGCTTTGCACTGCCTTAGCGATATTCAGGAAACAAAGGTAACAGTTTCTGCTCATCGTACACTGAAATCTGTCCGTGGTGTTATTTCGGAGAATGACCCGATGGACTGTCCCGTAGAAGAAATTCTTGAAGGTATGCATGGCCAGGCCGTTGTCGCTGCCAAACGTATCACCATCCGAACGGATGGAAAGGAAATCCCTACAAAGCACATCCTCCTCACTTGGACATGCACCGAGCAGTACAAAAGGCTCGGAGGCATCAGTAGAGGAACTGGAGGTTACCCCGTCACAGACGGAAGGTGCCTCCTCTCAAGGGGGGCGTCAAAACCCACCCAAGAGAAATAATCCAAAAAAGACAATACCCAGAATCACTGGCCCATAATTCACAATCCCCTTGGTCTTGGTTTTTATGACCAGGGGCCTTATGCAATAGAATTGCAGAGGACTTTTTCACAATTTAGATGATGTAAATATTCTCCTGCAGAAACATGAGCCAGTAGCACTCTGCCTTCAGGAAACAAACTTAAAACAATCAAATACCAATTTTTTAAAGTCATTTCAACTTTTCAGAAAGGACCGTATAACCTCTTCCTGCTTTTCAGGAGAAGTTGCCATTGTTGTGAAGAGTGATGTCGCAGACTATGAAGTAACTCTAGCCACCCTTCTTGAGGTTGTTGCAGCACGTATTTTACTGGATCGGTTGGTTACTGTTTGCTCATTGTACATACCACCTTCATTTGCTTTATTAGCAAGAGATCTTGAACAGTTGGCTGATCAATTGCCAGAAGCCTTTTTTATACTTGGGGATTTTAATGCTCATAACCCACTTTGGGGGAGTCAACGGTTTGACAGTCGGGGAAAAGTGATTGAACGTTTCGTCTCATCGAGAGTGCTCTGTGTGCTTAACACCGGTGAACCAACATATTTCAGCTCATCTCATTGATCTTTTTCCTGTATCGATCTTTCCATTTGTTCCCCGGATATATTTACCTTTTTTCAGTGGAATGTGATTGATAACCCATATGGCAGTCATCACTTCCCGGTTCACCTGGCCCCAACGCAACTCCCGCCGAGATTGCAATCGCGTCCTCCCCGGTGGAGGCTAGAAACCGCAAACTTGAGCTTTTTCAAAAGACTGCTGTGTTCTCCCATGACCTTCTTGACACGCTTTCTGTCGATGAAGTTACTAACCACATCGCAACAATCTTAATAGAGGCAGCACGGGTTTCGATCTCCCAAACGACAGGCTATTTACCTAAACATCCTAAGCCTTGGTGGAACGATGAGTGTCGTGAAGCAAAGAAAGCACAAAATAAATTCTGGGGAATTCTACGCCGATATCCAACAGCTCTAAATGTCTTGTCTTTTAAGCAGAAGTAAGCATTCGCACGCTATGTTCGAAAGCGGGCAAAAAAGAAGTCCTGGGTTGGCTATACCTCCTCCATCAATAGTTCCACACGTGTCAAGGTTGTCTGGGACAGGGTCAGGAAAACAGACGGGGACTACCGTCAGTATTCAATTCCCTTAATTTCGTCACCAGATGGTGATACCCCCTCCTCACTAGAAGAGCAAGCTAACATTCTGGGCAGGCGTTTCCAAAGTATATCAGGATGTGGAAATTAAGGCACTAACTTCTTAAGTCACAATGCGAGGGCAAAGAAGGTTAGGCTTGTTACTGCTGGCAGCAACAATGAAGAGTACAACCAGCTTTTTACAGTTGCTGAGCTGCGTCACGCTCTTGCATCATCAAAGCCTTCAGCCCCAAGTTCCGATAGAGTACATTACAGCATGCTAACCCATCTCGCTGATTCATCGTTTGATCTTCTTAAATTTTTTAATTGTGTATGGAGAGAAGGGTAGCTACCCAATGAGTGGAAAAAAGCCATTATAGTCCCCTTTTTAAAACCAGGAAAAGACAGATCTGATGCCTCTAGTTACCGCCCTATTGCGTTGACTAGTTGTCTGGGAAAGACTTTTAAGAGACTTGTAAACAACAGGCTCGTTTTTATTTTAGAAAGCAACAGTCTTTTAAGTCGTTTTCAATGTGGTTTTCGCGCTTCGAGGTCTACAACCAATGGATTTCCGAAAGTCGTATAGGAAAGGTAAACAGCCTTTGCTACGACTAGCAGGCGACACTGGCGTTCGGCGTCCGAGCAGTGGCCCTGACGCCACTGTTGCCTTTGAGCGAGGAGCACACGACACCCTTCCCCGCTCTTGCCGGAGGAATATTGTGGGCAGAAACAGAAATATCCAGTCTTTCTGTCTAACCAACATACTTCTAATAGCAATTGGCGGTCTGACGTGACTGCACTCGCTGCGCAGAAAGCAGGTGGACTTTGCACGCCGCATAGGCATATTAAAGCGAATGAATAGACCTTTTTCAAAAATTCGTCAAGCAACATTGGTAATCGCCATTTTTTGGGCACGAAGCGTGTGATTGGATTCGAGTCTTCGGCGAATTATGGCGCAGGGCTCGCGTTCAATGCATGCTCAGAGTACGTGCCCAAACAATGGCGAACCAGCGATGCCTCCCACTTTTCAAAAAAGGGTGTATCGCGGACTCCGAGTGGACGCAGCAGAGGCAGAGTGACTCATTAATGAGGTCCCACTCGCCGTTGGAGATGTAGGAGGATAGGTCTCCTCCCTCGTCGCTTTTGACTCGCAGGTCCAACTGGTAGCCGTTGTATGTCCACGAACCGAATTTGAGGTCGCACTTCTGGTCGTCAAAGGGGAACCAAATGATGTCGATCTTGCACGTGCTTTTAAATATACCCGGTGGGATGTAGTTACAGCTGCCGTTGTGGCGGACAACAACGTTTGTAGGATACGTCCCGTCGAATTTTTCGTCCGCGCTGTGCAAAGAAGAATAAAAAATGAGCGGGAAAACAAACTGAGACACAATTAAAAAGACACACACAGAGGGTACAAGAAAGCGCCACAGCCGACCTTCAAAAGTATAACCTCGCAACATGTTCTTTTTTTTTTGTTTTATCGCAGCTATAATGTGTTTAAATTTTGGTTTCTCGTCTTATCTTCTGGCGGTGGTGTCAGAAACAGATAGCTCATTTAGTCTGTAATTACCTAATTACTTCCTTTGATCCTTGGTTTATACTCCATAGTATATAAAGTTTAAAAAAAAAAAAAACTATTCAGTAGAGAAGCACACGAACTGCCTCGAAGTTTTTTGTTTTATATCTTAGGTCAACTTGTCGCGCAAGGCAGATAATGCCACTTTCAAAAAGGTGGGATGAAGAAACTTAAAACGACCACCGACGTTTCTCATCTACGGAATAGAGATAACTGTCTATGCTATTTGAGCCTCCTAGCAAAATCTCGTTTCTAAGTTTAGGTTAAAGGGACCATGAAACGATTTTGAAATCCCATTTCATCCACCGCGCGTCGTAAAAGGTGTGAAAAGACAGCCAAAGCGCAAACATCGAGAATAAAAAAAAAAGTTTTTCTATAGAACTTCTAAAAAAAAAAAAGCGGACTCTTTTGTACCTTTTCTTTCGAAAGCTCTGTGCCTTTTCCCTGCGATGCATACGCGGTGCCACGGCACATCAGTTAAATCTAGATCGCCTATTGGATCAGAGCCTACCACACCAGCACCGCGATCATAAACAATAAATTGCCGGAGAATGTTTCTTAAAAGTTGTGTTAAAGATAATTCTAGTCTCCATTCTGTTGAATATTTAGCGATGTGACGGAAATTGTCGAATTTTATAATACTCGGGCTATGCGCCATCTATCGTGTGGTAAATGAAGCAAGAAAAATATCAGACTGCGCCTGCGCATAGTCGCTTGCTGCTGAAAAACATGAGGTCGGTGGTGATGATCGACGAGGTCGGCGTGGTGGAAGCTCATCGTTCCACATAGAGCGCTATCCTTGCCTGAATCCTCGTGGCGGATCGCGATGTTAAGCCAGCACGTCCTAAACCGAAAGATTATCTACTCGTGCTGTGATGTTGTGGCGGCACCCTCGAGACAGCACAAACGCTCGTGCCGTTGTCTTTGTTTACTTCGAGTAGACAGTGGTGCTTTCTTAGCATTTGTGTCATCGAGCATCGCCCGGTTTTCTTATTTTTGCGCATTCCATCCGTGTGATCAGGTTCGAGATATTACTGGTGCGTACGCTATTTAAAGACGTGTACAAAGGGTGCGAATTTCGACGCGGTTTTTTCACCCGAGAAAAGTGATTAGCGTTAGCATTCCTTGAACGATCGCAACGTCTATGTGATCCCGAAATCACATTTCTACATGGCTATATTTTTTGCTAAGACTACATTGTCTTTTGCAGTCGTAGGATAGGCGTGTGACCAGATTTGTACTATCAGTAAAGTCGTGTTTCAATGTCGTGATCGTCCAAGACGGCATGCTGCATTATTCTATTTTATTTTTTTAGCCACTCTCTCCTGCGAGCCTATCCTGACAAAATAAAAGTTCATTAAGCTTGAGCCCATAGGAGACTCTGTGCAGATTCTGCCACGCCAGTGAGTGACAGCGCGTCCCCTAATTTTTAGAGATATAGCGAAGCGGCTGACGGCGGCGGAAAAGCGGCTGTCGTGCTGACGACCTCACACGCATGCGAATGGGACCAGTCCCATGCTGCCGCTGCAGCGCAACATATCTAATTGAATTTCGCTCAGATGCGATGTGTCCACGGCTATCTCGGTGAGGGGAGGCGCCGATTGGGAAATTATGTCGGTGGCATCGGTGCCACCAGCGCAGTAAAACCTACCGGCACACCGCCAGCTCTCAGCTAACGCTCCCAATCTTCTACTGCCAAGAGAACTCCCGTTTCTGGTGACAGGGCACGTCACAACCGTCAAAATTGCGCTGCGGCTTGTTTTTCGGTGGGTAGGAGAGGAAAAAAAACTCAATATTTCAATAATTGTTCATGTAGATGTTAATAAACCGAAACAAAAACGGATGCATGTTCGGCGTTTAGTGAACATTGAAGGTATAATGTAAAAGTTGTTTGTCAAATGTAAAAAGGTCATTTCATGGTCCCTTTAATTACAACTTTATTGCTTCTACTAGCGAAAACTACCAATCCGAAGACAAATTTAGTAGCTTAGATATCTCTCTCACTCTCTCTCTCTCTCTCTCTCTATATATATATATATATATTGTTTTTTTCTTTAATGTGCTCTCTGTACCAGTACCGTTACGGATACGAGTGTGTTATACCAAAAGACGCTTAAAAAAAAAACGCGTGTCAGCGATACCTATGGTAAAACAAAAATTATGATATACAATGGACCTTTTTCCACTAGGCTTCTGCGCATGCGTACACTCCCGCTGTCGCCATTTTCCCAGGACACCGGGACAGTGGCCCTGCGAAAATGGCGACACCAAAATTGTCACGATCCATCTTCGCGCGTATTTAGCCTATCTTGACGCTTTGTTTTTTAATACCAGTAGTATGGGGTATTAAAAGCACTGAAAACCAATACAACGGCGCGATATCAATGTGTTTTGACGGGCGGAGGCATGTCGGGCTGCTCGTCATTTGTAGTTCGCAGACAACTCCGCAGACGGCGTTCGTTACTTGAAAAAGGTCCATTAAAGCAATACAGTTTATTCGCGTCATTTTTAAAATCATCGCAAAACAATTGCATGCATGTCCGGGAAGGTGATTGCAACTCAAAGGGGACAAATACTGGCAATATGCCTATGGTCAATGGGCGTCGAAATGAATCGAGGTCTCCACTCATCGACAACTTCAGAAACGCAGGGCGCATCGCAGACGATTACATTGTTGCATTAGCCTATAAGAACGCAGCAGAACGAATCACAAAGGGCGAGCTTAATAAACCATCAGCTGCATTTCTCAAGATGTCACTAAGCATAGTAATAACTAACTGATTGGAATACCAGTTCCATTGCTATACGGAGCGCAAGTTCGTCTGCTTCTTGCGCAGGGGTTGCAGTGACGTCAAAACGCCGAGCGCTGATTGGCTCTAATCGAAAGGGTAGCGGCTAGACTTCAGTGCTAGCTGCCTTGAGGTCTACCCACTATCCTTCCAATAGTAGCCAATCAGAGCTTGGCGTTCTTCTGACGTCACCGCAACCCCTCCGCAAGAAGCAGTCGAACTTGCGTACAGCATAGGTTTTTGGAGATGCAGAACCAAAGATTAGTAAAGGGTGAGTTGGATTTTATTCCAATAACACTGAAGGTGCAGGAGCAGATGGTATGAAGCCTTAATCACAATTAGAAACAGCTTTGTATTTTGAAATGGACAGGTCAAGACCAGCGTTTTGGGTAGGTCGTGTGTATACTCTAGAATTCCGACATCATTAATACGGTTTTTGTGTTTTTTCTATAACGATGTGTATGCCCGGGTGTTGGAGCTTCTGGCAGCTCTGTTCTTTAGCCATATATTTGGATGTCTGTGCCTTCGCAAAATATTTTTTTATCTCGCTCTTAATTACTTTTGAAACCCGATGAATGTTTTATGCCTTTAAACGTAGACAGGTGTCGCCAAAGTGAAATCAGATTTTTAATTTATTTTCCTTTTTATAACCTTCGCTGAATAGCAAAATAGTAATTTTAGTTGGGCTCGAGATATAAAGAGATATATTATCCTCTTTTTTTCATTTTACACGCCATTTTTAGTCACATATTTTGGTTATTATTACTTAGAGATTTGAAATGGGAACGTCGACAACTTGTCAAATGTGTGGCACAGCCTGCTTTAGAACGCACCAATAACTGTTGTTCAGTATTTATAATTATTTTTACCTTTCTTTTTTTAATTACAGCGGAGACAAAGTACACTTCGGCACTACAAAGATTACGAGTTTGCAATTATACGCTGGTAAATTGGGCTCAATAAGTGTCCGCCAATCAAAGTTTACAAAAAATTGTCATTAAGTTTCTGAAGACTCATTTTGCTACAACTCTGTCTTGTTTTTCTGACGAACACTTGATTTCAAATCAATAACATTTGTTAAGGTTGTGTTTTTTTAACTTCAAAAAAACGTGGTGAAGCGTTACTGGAACAAATGCAAAATGTTAGGGGAGCGAACAAACGACTGCCTTTCACATACGTGACCAGAAGTTAGCGAACAAAGCTTAAACGAATGAATCTGCTTAAACTCTGCTTAAAAGTGTTAGACGATAAAAATGCATGTGACCTTAAGCTCCTTCAGATTTTGAGCCGTCTTTTTGCCAATTTCTAAGATTGCGACAACCATTCGTTATAACTTCCTTAATATGTCCCTGACGTGGACTTTCGAAAATATGGTCGCTCAATAAACCGCTTGCAAAGATTGCATCAATATTAAAGGTAACCCTAAACCAACACTTGTAGCGTCGCCTTCCCTTTGTTCTGAGAAATCCACAAAAACGTCTTCGGAAACGAAAACGTCTTCAGTTTTCGTAATATGACCGACAAAGTTTTAGCAGAGTTTCGGGCTTGAAGAGGTCTCCTTTCACGGCAACTGCTTCAGAATGCGTTGTACGCTAGGATGAGTGAGTTAACAATACAAAACAGCTTACACGTTTGTGTTGTAATGATACTAACGTGTGGCGCGATGGCTATACGGGTTCCTTACGTTTCTATATCAAAATAGGCGAAATATGCACATGAACGAACCGTACAATTGACTTTGAATAAAAGTTACAAAGCTGCCGAAGGGCAAAGTTCGGTGCAGCCTAGATCTGAACTCCGGATCACCGTGTTTACCGGCGAGGTACACTACATATATCCACACGCGTCGTGTGGATATATCTGGTATATATCCACATATATCTACCTGCGCGCGATGTACACACCATTTAGGTTGCCTCTGTTCACACACAAAAACCAGGACAGCGACTACAGAAATAAGGGGAAAAGGGTGTTGTGGATGATATGAATCAAAAGTTGACCACGGCTTTGGCAGATTGTAGTTCAAATCTCGGGGTGTGTGTGGTACTAAGTAGCACCTTTTTTTTTCATTGTGTTCTTTGCCTCGGTATAAACATTTACATACACTTTTTTCTATAAAATAATACGGTAAAGACAAATCCGTCTTCGTAGAGGAAACGTTAGAGTACCACTGATTGCACACATTTTTATTTACTCGGAAGTGGAGTGAATAAAGTTGGTGCATCTCACCTGTTGTACATCAGCACGTCGGGTTTCCAAATTTTGCTCGGCGGGATCCGCACTTCTTGCACTCCGCCGTAGAGCTTTGGATCCCAGCGGAGGTTCACGTCAATCCAATCCTTTCGTCGAAGAACTGTCGAGGAACACATTTTCCGTGCGTAAGGGCGCCCGGGGAAGTGAAGGGAAAGACAGAAAGAAGAGGAAAAAACGAAGAGAGGAAGAGAGAAAACAGGTATAAGGGAAGACAGATAATGAGAGAAAGAGAAAGAAAGATAGAGACAATATAAAAAAGAAACAAAAAAGATGAAAAAAAAGAGAACGAAATAAAGGAAAAAAATAGAAATAGGAAAGAAAGCAAGAAGGAAAGGGGGAAAGAAAGAAAAAGGAGAAAGAGCGAGGCTATGAAAAAATGTCAGGGAAGAGAGTTCCGCCACCACGCGGGGATTATAGAACGTTCAGAAAGTAACGAGAAAGGGAGGCAGAAAGCCAAGTAAGGAGGAATTGAGAGAGGGAAGATAAAAACATTGACAAAAGATAAAGAAAAAAGAGTGAAATTCGGTATTAATTACGGTCAGCTGTCCGAGTGATTCTGCTGTAACAATGAATAGGACACCGAGAAACACCGACATGCACGCCAGTTCTGAGAGTGTAATGAAGGAAGCGAAATGTGGCAGCCAATTTGAGGAGGGTATGGATTGGTGACAATGGAGGAAAAGGTGCGAGCCCGAAGGGAGGGAATCTGAACAACAGCAAACAAATAAGTGGTGGTATGAAAGGAGATTCAAAATAAAACAAACAAAAGAAGTTTTCGCCTTCCATTTGATTGCGCTAAGACTCAGTGTGAAACATTCATTACTCTTGCTTTACAGACAGTCTGTTCTGCTTATAAGGAGGGCCGCTTTCAGCAAGCCACTTCACAGGGCAGATGCTTAAACCAGATGCCAATCGTTTTTATTTTTTTTAAATCTGAAATGCATCATTAAAGCTGCCCTGTGACGAGGAAATTTCGTTGTTAATTGTAATTCTGCCTCTATGAACTAATAAACTAAGAACAAAGGGGGTGGAAGTTTAAGTTCCCTTCCAACAAGCAAGCTGTCTTCTCTAATGCTCCAACATCGCGATCCCGTTTTAGTCTTGCGCAAAGTTTAGTCGCCGTCTCGGCACTGCAGAAGCCAGTGACCTCGTAATCTGTGGTCAGGACGGCCAAAAACGTCTCTAGGCGTTCCTTCCAGTTAAAGACTATAGATGGGTAATTATAAATTGTTTAAATAGAAAAGTAATTGCCGGTAATCGCTTAAAACTGTGACTTTTTTTCATAAAAACTAAAACAAATTTGGTATTTTAATTTATTTTCAGGAATTGGAGCTAGCGGAAAGAAGTGCTAAAAATATCGTTCTCATTTTTTATGTTAGTTGTCTAAATTCCTTAAGAAATTCTTTAAATGATCGACACCTGCGCATCAGTAAATACTGACGATTTGTTTTTAAATTTACCTTTAATGACAGAGTGTTTACGCAAAGAAATCATGCACTTAACAAGAAGGCGTTCTTTTAAAAACGCTGTGCCCCTCTTATTTTACGTAATTGCTAACTTGAACATGCAACGCCGACGACGTGTTAGTTTGAGAAACAATGAAAATAAAACTTTATTTTTGTACCTCAAAGAAAAGCATGAGTTTCCTTAAAAAAACTTTTCTCGCCAGGCCTGTTTCAATAGTCGTCAAATTATTTGTACGTGAAGGGGTAAAATTACGTTTTAAGATAGATCGTCCGCAAACAGAGGCAAAGACGACACGTTTGTTAGCAGCGCTCAATAACGCTTTCAGAGTTGTGTTTGAGCCCCACGACACTCAAATGGAAGGCGCTACTCCAGATACGACTCTTGGAGCTGCCTCAGAATATGTATGCCAGTATGTTATCATATTTTGTGAGCTGCATTGTGCGGTGAATAAATATGCTACAGTCAATTTCTTAGCGCTTCGACCCGGCTGAATATGCACAAAATTTTAAATTTCCTAAACCTAATCAAAAACAGCTCAAACTTTCCCAATGCGCCATATTGTTAGCCGATAAAAATATAAATATCGAATTATTTGCCACAGTCTAAGGGCTGCCACGAACAGTAACTATACAAAGAACATAAAAATGTGCGGCATTGACATCCTCGCTAAATCTTTCTGCCCGTGGAACTTGGTGCTTTATTAATTGCGCCGTAGTGAGCAGACATAGATGGATGGATGGATGGAAATAACTTTACTTATTTATAGAGGTGAAGGCGGTTATGTCCGCCCTCATTCGGCAGTTAGTCACACTTGGTGGCCGGGAGCCCATGTGCCTCGGCGGCCTTAGCATCCCTACGGACCACATGTAATTCGGTGATCGGGTTTGAGCCGCGTAGTGCAGCGTCCCACCGCTCCTCTGATGGGAAGGGAGAGGAAGGGACAGGAATATATTGGGAGTTGAATTGCTCACGGAGACATATTTTAAGAAAGTGTTGGTTGTCGGAACCTCAGTTCGCAATATAAGACTGCAAAACCAAACTCGAATTCTTTTTTTTTAACGTAATTTATGTAAGGCTACGTTATCGTGCCACTCTTGTACAATATAGCGATATTCTGCTACACATAGAACTTGTTGGAGACAAATTATACTAAGGGGAAACCTAACTTATACAGATTTACATAGAAGTACCATAACACGCCAAAGCAAAGCTGAAATTCAATCTAAATAAAAACAAATATTATATATATATATATTTTTTATTTTTTTATTTTTTGCAATCAAAGAACATCTGTTACATGATAACGCAAAAGCGAGTTGCCTCCGCGTGTGATTAGAATACACTAAATAATTTATCGCAATGCTATAGCTACGGCGCAATCGCAGACGCTGAATGGCTGCTTACAGAAACAATACGCCTGCCTCGCTCTCTGAAAGTATTTGACTTCGGTATTTTAATTTTTGTTTTTAGTTTCCCTCGTTGAGTACAAAATTGCAGTCTTAACACGAAGTAAAGATCGAATGACCCTTTGGTAACAGATAAAATCTAACGGCATTCTTCCCAGATGTTTGCCTCTTACCCCCAGAGGATTAAGTGGAACAATAACCTGCCCCCTAAATTTTTCTTGTGCTGCTTTTACGGTCCCTTTCATCATCTTCTTTGCTTTATACACGGCATTGTGGGCCTTTTAAGTTTAGTAATGATGGCAGCCTCATGGGGCTGTAGCGCGTGTGAGATAATGCCGAATACACCGCGGCTCACAGTGCCAATTAATCCATGCTAATGAGACTGGCACGTGGTCCTAGCTACTTTTTGAAATAAGAATGCGCAGATCCATGTGATTCGTAATTGCTGTCGTGTTTTTCGATGTGCGGTAATGTGTCCCTCTGCACAGAAGAGATGAGCAAAACATTCTTCTGACATTCGTGGCCTGCCTTTTTCGGCACAATTTGCCTTTATTTTGTTTAAGATGCATTGTATTCTAAGAGACCGACTGCGGGAATGCCATACTCCAACGTTTTATTTTTTTTAAAGGTTATTTAAGAAGTAAGGAAAGCTTAGTACCTTCATACCTTCTTATTTTACACGAATTAGGCGATTAATATTAATTGGAAATTGCAAAATATGTTTGAAGAACAAGGGCTGCTTTTAGAGGCCATACACTAGAGCGCACATATTGCTACAAATGCAAGTGTTTTTTGCGCAGCGATTGAGTTGCCTGTACTCGATTTCAACTGAAGACCATGTGTGACGTCCACTGGAATTTGTTTTAACTTCTCTGGGTTATGGCACGGGCGAAATGCCGAACAAGACATTGTTCCCGCGTCAGTTTTTATGGGGAACGCTACTAGACCTCGTTCATTGCTCCAGAAAATTACACTTTCTTCGCGTGTTTCTCTCTCTGGGGTGGTGCGCGCCGTGGCACCACGCCTGCCCCCTATGCGGTGAACCTGCGGAACAGATAAAGAACAAAATGCCTTTTCGCTTTAGAGTTTGTCCGCGCAGAAGTTTATGCTAATTTGCGCAAACTCGCTAGCTCAACTTTAAATTCAATTTGACGTGAACCATTGTGATTAAACAATTTCAAACTTTTGGAACATTGACGGGAAAAGCTCTGTCAAAGGGTGGTCAGTTGCTTAATGTTTTTTGTCACTCTTGGTGATATATTAAAAAAACAAGTTTTATGGCGGCTTAGAGTCTATTGGTGTCAAAGTGTGCTGTACGTTTTTTTTTAGTTTTGAATACGAACACTGAAGATAAAACGCATTGGAATGCCGAGATTCACAAGACAAAATACGAGGTTTGTGAAGATTGGAGTTGAAGACATCAACTGGTGAACGTTCACAACGAAACTACGAATGGAGTTCAAATTCGGCGTGAACTAACGCTCTTTGATGACTTGACAATCCTGGATACCGATGGGTACATTGGTCAGCGAAGGTTGGTCACTAATATGAAGCACAAACAGCGCATACGAAGGAACATCGCGAAGAAGGAATTGGTCTTCTAATATGATGGGGCTCCGGAGCAAGTAGCTGCCACTTCAGTCACTCCAGCAACAATCATCTCACTGCTGCAGACGCCGTCCCTGCCGATGGCGCGTAGGTCACTCCTGATAGATGCTTCTAAATTGACATCAGGGGGAATGCCAGGAAGGTCACTCAAACACCATTGCTTCAAATTATCCTTTATACGGTGTACTTGACGTCCCGGTCAGATTACACCTTCAAGCCCCGTGTCATCTGTTTCCGTGTTGTCGCCGTCTTCCGTATTTCTCTGCGCGTACCTCTTGCCCGCCGTTTAAGTTTTATAAACGACGCCATTTTGATTCAGAAATCGTAATCTTGAAGAGAGCTTAGTGGAAGTCAGCGACGGGCTGTACATTATTATCCTCTTATGAACAATGGGACGAACAATTTACATCGCACCCTAATATATCTCAAGAAATCGAACAGCAGCTGTCATCCTATTATTCGAGGCGTACTAGCAGTAGCTCGACAATAGGACGGCAACGGTCTATTATATTTGAAAGTACTTTGTAATATTGTTTATTTTCACGTACACAGTTGAATACGCGATGTCCCAGCCCATTTCCAACGACTAATTAAAATGTGTTTTG